TCTATAAACTTTTAGTAAGCACCTACTATGTGTCAGGCACTGTACTAAGGGCTGGATATACTAAGGAAGGCAAAATAGACACGTGGCTGTCAAGGACCTCACACAGTCTAATGGGGAGACAATAAGTGAACAATTATGCACATTCAAGAAATATAGAGGATAAACTGGAGTTATAACCAAGGAAAAGCAGCAGGAGGTGACTAGTATAATTAACAAATCAGTTCCTTCTCTCCTTAAGACTTTGATAAACCCAAATTTGAAAAATGATTTCTCTTTGGATCTGATATTTTTATACTCCCCAAAATGTTCCTCAATTTCTGTTTTCTCAGGTGGCAACATAGCTTACTTCTGGATTCTACTACCTTGGCCATCTTCAACATTCAGTATGTGTTCTCTCTCCTCTCTATGTCCTCATCTTTTCTAAGCCACCTGCATAGATAGGGGTATCTTTTTCCTTAGGAAAGCTCAGGAAATTCACTTTGTTCTTCTCTTTGCCAGGAATTTCCGCAGTGGTTCAGCAGTTTGGGGTTCATACTACATGCATTCTTTTGTGGAATGTGTGCCTCCCTCCTTTCATTTAGAGTTGGGAAATCTCTAGCATTTGTCTTCACTCTTTGTTTCCTTCTTAACAAACTGTGGAAAATAATCATAGAACCATAGATTTAGAATAGAAAGGGACCTTGGAAGCCATTTGAGTCTGACCATTTCATTTTACAGATGAAGAAACTGATGCATAGAGAGATATGAATCCAGTCTTCCTGACACAGAGTTCAGTGCCCTATCCAATACACCATACTACCTCCCATTTGGCCTCAAAGTCACCTTGCTTTTTGCTATCCCAAGTTATGGAACTCAACTGAAATATAGGAACTTGGAATTCATTTTTGCTCAAACTGTTCCAGACAGCTAACTTCCCTAAAGAAACAGGGAAAGACTGTCCATGAAAGTTTGGTTACATACACATCCTAGACTTACATTCTATTTGTCTTTTGAAAAAAATAGAGGAGCAATACTCTGGCAGCCCACTGCTATTGATTTAGCAGACTTAATCCTCTTTGAGTTAGGAAGGTCATCAATGGGATACCCCATTTCTAGTTAACTTTCTAATATAGCCTAAACATAACCCCTTGCCTACTTGACCAGGAAGGTCTAGTTGTATGATGGTCAACTAGAAAAGTTTGCAAATGCTATTGATTCTGTCTCTAGGGAGCTCACATGGGGAAAGGAAATCTGATCAAATCTTCATGTAGACTAGTGAGTCTGGGGTCTGGCTGTCAGCCCTCATTTAGCTTAAGGACAGGCAGAGAAGAGAAAAGGATGAGTATGAATTGGGGAGTATCTTAAAAACAAATGGGATGTATTACACTGAATTATAGTATGTAGTATAGTGGCACAGGGGATAGTGCTGGACCCGGAGTCAGGAAGTCTTGAGTTCAAATCTTGCCTCAGAAACTTATCAGTTCTGTGACCCTGGGCAAGTCACTTCACCTCTGTTTGCCTCCATTTTCTCATCTGTAAAATGGAGAAAATAATATCACATACCTCCGAGAGTTGTTGTGAGGATCACATGAGATAATTTGTAAAAAGTGCTTAGCATGATTCCTGGCACATAGTAGGCACTATATAGGTGTTAGCTATTGTTATTATTGGAAGTTACATTACTCAGTGGATACAGTGCTGAGCTTGGAGTCAGAAAGATCTGATTTCAAATCCAGCTTCAAATACTTATGAGCTGTATGACCCTGGGCAAGTCACTTTACATCTGTTTGCCGCAATCTACTGGAGAAGGAAATGGCAAACCACTCCGGTGTCTTTGCCAAGAAAACCTTATGGACAATATTAGCATGGTATGGTCCACAGGATCACAAAGAGTCAGACGCAACTGAACATCAGTTGTTATTATTATTACTACTCCTAATTAATTTCAATTGAAATAATGCTAGGTAAGTGTCTAATGGCAATGGGATACAATGGAAAGAGGTTGATATGTCAGCACAGAAGCAGGGTGCAGAGCCCAGCTTAAAAAATCGCGGAGGAAGTTAGACAATTCACTTCCCCTCTCAGTGGAGATTGGACTAAATGACACCTAAGGTCCTTTTCAGTTCTAGAGCTATCAATTTAAAGATATATGCCAAGCCTTGATCAGGGCATTGAAGGTGTGGTGTTACTTAGTATGAGTCAGTCAGTTGATAAACATTTATGTGTCCCAGGCACTGCACAAAGTGTTTTGGGTACAAAGAAAGGCAAAAGGCATCTGCTGCTTTCAAAGAGCTCACAATCTAAAGCTAAGGACTAATAAACACAACAAGGTAAGGGAATTGCAATATTCACACAAGGCCTGCAAAATCCCCTTTATGATATGAGAATGAGTTGCTGAATCTGGAGGGCACAATAAAATACAATACACACGTGACATAGCACAGCACAATACAATACAACATAATACAATGCAATGCAATGCACTTCCATACATCAAACATTTGTTCTGTATCTACTATGTACATAACATTGTGCTGGGCATTGGAGGAGGTGCAGAGTTTAGATAAGACATGGTTCTGCTCTCATGACACCAGCTGAGTTAACTATATATACAATATTTCAAAATCAGCACATTCTAGAGGTGCAGAACAAAACACATCGTGAGGTCTGAGGGGCCTCAAAGATCGAGGAAGCCTTGGAGGAAGAGGCATTCAAGCTGGGCTTTTAAGGTTGAGGAATTCAACAAGTGAGAGGACATTTCAGATTCAATGAACAGCCTGAGCATAGAGGTAGGAGGAATCTTGAAGGATCTATTCCTAAGACCTTGGTTTGAGAAAGCCATTATTTTAGCAAATTTCACGTGACTTGTAAGCAAAAACCTAGAAATTTGGGGGGGGGGGAATTGCGTTGGGTTTTTCAGTCAAGAAGAATTACATTTATTTTTCCTGAATTATCAAAGAACCCAAAATATTAGGTCCCATATCTGCAAGATTTTGGTGATTGGGGTCAAGTGCCTTAAAAGTGCAGCTTCTGTGGTTTGAAAGTAACTCCTTTGTATGTTTGTCAAAGACTCTAGCACACCAAGAGAACCATTTCACTTAATGGTGGTGGTGATGAGTTTAAATTTCCAACTTGCAGTGTCCTGGGAATTCATTTCCCTTTTCTTTCCAAAAACCTTCACATAAAATGTGAGGCACCCAGAAGCCAAGTGTCTTTAGGGCTAGGAATGGGGGAGGGGAGGAGGGTGATCACACAATGAAGCCGAAAATAGAATCCTAAAAATAAAATCTCCGTCCATCCACTCCTCTTTCAGCTAGAGATCACAGCCTCTGTGTTCACGTGTGATCAAGTGGAAAGAGAAATGGTTAAGGGGCAAGGCAGTTACTTTAATTCACTGCATCAACATGTAATCATCCCCTCTTCCCCATAAGAAACAATGGTTTCTTGTCTTCAGTCTCAAGACTGAATCTTAAATAAGGATATTTATCAAATCCTTGATTTGGCACAAACCACAGAAATAATTTGTCTTTGGTGTTTCTTGGGAGTTTATTCATGTCCATTTGCAACAATGGAGGAGGAGAGGACAATATCTGCACTGGTAAATGTGGCAGGAAGGCCAAAGCCAGTTCTTCCAAGGTCACTGACAGACAGTGTCAGAGTAGGTGGTATTTATGGATAAGATGTTTGCATCTAAAATCCTAAAGGCTCCAATGTGACTGTTTCTTTCTCAAAGGAATTTTCTATCATTAAACGTATTTCTTCTCATTGTCTTGAATTCTTCTGCCAAACTAAATTCCTCTCATGTTTACCCAACCTTTCTCCCCAACCTCACCTCCATCTCCCCTATCATGTCATCCATTTGCACTTGCTACTATTCTAAGACAAAGACTGTGGGCGCTGCTTCAGTCCCCGAAGTAGAAAAAATTCTTAAAGATCAAGGCCAAAGATGTCAAACTCAAGGCCCATATGCTAAAACGCACCCAAGTGAAGCCTGAACCAGATTACAATGTAATTGGGAAATATTTAACAAAATAAACAAACAAAAAAGATAAAACTTATAGATAATCTTAATTTGTGATGTTCTAAGTCAATATGCAATCAGTAGGAATTTATTTCTATTTGGATTTGACACCACTGATATAGGCAATGTGCTAGGTGGCACAGTGGATAGAGCACTGGCCCTGAAGTCAGGAGGACCTGAGTTCAAATCCAGCCTCAGACCAAACACTTGACACTTACTAGCTGTGTGACCCTGGGCAAGTCACTCAACCCCAATTGCCTAAAAAAAATAAAAAAGAGAGAGAGAGAGAGAGTGCTGGATTTGGGATCAAGAGATCTGCATTTGAATCTGTGCTATGACATTTATTAGTTATTTGACCATGGATAAGTCATTTAACCTCTATTGGTCTCAGTTTCATCATCTGCCAAATGGGAATGATAATGATAATGTACTATTTACTTCATAGAGGTATTCTGAGGAAGGCATCTTCTAAAATGTAAATTGCTATATAAATGAGTTATTATTATCTACTCCAACCCCCTTATTTAAAAAAAAATTCTGGGTAAAAGAAGTTGACTTGCTCAGGAAGGAGAACCCAAATCTACTCATTCACAGTTCAATTTGTTTTCTGTTGTACCACACTAGTCCACCTTCTCTAGATCTAAGAAAGCTCCCTGTCTCTTTGGTTTAACTTTCTGCCCCTTTCTCATAAGCCATAGTCACAGATCTAAGACTGGAAGGATCCTCAGAGACCATTTATCCTAACTCCCGCATTTTACAGATAACCAGGAAACTGAAGCCCAGGAAGGTAGAGAATCATTCTCTATTCATGCCCTAAGGATTGGATTGGTATTCATAATAAAGAAGTTGGCCCAGACATTCCCTTTAGGGAAGAGAATCATGCCCAAGGTGTCAAGCTTTAGATGTTGGAAGTTTCACAAAGTATTCAGGTGCATGTATAACAGGGTGCTCACCTGCTTCCTGAGATAGGATCAACTTACCTCTTATGTTCACTTTTCAGAAAATCATGAAGCGTCTTATAAAAAGATACGTCCTGAAGGCCCAGGTGGATAGAGAAAATGATGAAGTCAATGAAGGCAAGCAATGTTTTGATGGATTTCCCAGGGTTGTCAGATGTCCCAAAAATGTAGAGGCCATCCTACATTTATTTCAATGCCTCATTACTAAGGTTCTAGCTTTTCATCAGTCAGTCTGCCTGTTCTAAACAGTCCACATCTTCAATCTGCTCCCTATGGTCTCACATTTCAAATACTCAACTCTCACAACTACTACCCCAACCCCTTTAATTATATTGCTCCTGCCTGAATTTTTTTAACAGAATATATCCCCCTATGTTGTTCAATTTTAAGCTGATTATTCTAAAATGTTAAGATTATCTTGCTCCAATTAAATAGTATTTATTAAACAGTATAAATATAAATAGTATAAATAAAAAATAGTATATATTTAAAAAGTACCCCAAATTTTAAGCTGGAAAGGACTTTAGTGGTCCTCTATTTCAGTCCCCTCATTTACAAATAAAGAGAAAAAATGAGACCCAGAGAGATCAAGAAATTTGCCCAAGGTCAGACAGATAGCAAATTCTGACTCCAGAATTTGCCACTGACCCACACTGCCTATCTTTTACTCCAAGATAATAATATAATCTAGGAATATGAGAACAAAAATTCACCTGCCCTAAAGCCACTGGGATGCCATTCAGAGGACTTCTCTTCATTATTCTAGAAGCAGAAATTCATTAAAGCCAGAATCAAAGGAAGTGAAATACTCTCCAAGAAACATATTTTCCTTAAATCAACTCTCCCATAATTAGATCAAGACTAAGAAGAATCACCATTTCACCTATCAATTTTGTTTTTCTTTCCCAAAGCAAGGCCATGTTCAGCAATCTGAATATTTTCCACTGAAATTTACTGGGCAGGTTGCTTTTTCAACTCTGGTCAATATTAATATTCTGTTAATATTCTATTAACTGGTCTATATGGCAAACAAAGCTTTCTGCTCCCTTCAAAGCAAAGCAAAACAAAATATAATTCCATGTGTGTTGATAAAAAGTTGAAATAAATGTGATTGTTGGTCAAGGGTCATAGAGCATGCCCTTGGTGGCTACTGGCCAACATTTTAAATCTTACTTCATGACTCCGATCCTGGAGAAAACATGTTTGTCTGTTTCAGTTGCTCACCTGAGAGATTTGGTGAGAAAAGAAGGAGGAATTCAAAATGAACAAATAAACTACCCTTTTGTTGGGGTTGGAGGAGGTCAGGTCATCATTCTTAAGTGGGACCTCCTTACCAGTTCTCCACTAGAGGCATATCTGTCTGGAACAAAGAAACTAGATCCCTAAATTGGAAGATTCTGCATTTGTCAGGATGAAATATTCCCCAAAATGCCAAGAAAAGAAAAAAAATGGAACAGTATATAGTGTGACTACAAAAATAATAAAGGAAAAATGGAAACACAATTCAAAAGTGAATGAACAAGCAGGGACTGCAAAGGGATACAAAGAAAAGTCTAAAACAGCTATTATGAAAATACAGTACAGAAAAAAATATGTTAAGTATAACTATTGTAAATGTTTTATTGTTTTCTTTTTTAGAGTTAAAATTATGATGAATTATCAAGTATTTGGTTCACCTTTAAACTGATTATTTTAAAATGATAAATCATCTTACTAAATCTCAATAGTCTTTATTCAATGTAATACACATTTTTTTACTCCCTAGACAACAATTTAACCTAGGAATATGAGAACTAAAACTAACTCCCTGAGCTGTTGTTTAGTTTCACTCTTCCAACCTAGCAAAGAGGATGGGAAGGCCAAACCCAGGTCTGACCATGTGACTGGCATTATTCTTTGGCCCCATTGTTCATTGAACTAGAAAAGAAATTTCACTAAATCATAGAGTCCTCCATGAAACAGCCCTCCTTTAGTCACTTCTCCCATAACCAGATCAAGGCCAAGAATGGTCACAATTGCTGCAATATGTATTATTCTTTGAAATTAATTTAAATTTGAAGTTACTAAGCAATTTGTATTTGTGTTCATATTTCATATCAAGTATCTACATTTAATTTTTTTAAAGGGTGTGACTTCTTCCTACGTGACCATGTTCATCCAAACCATTTTTTTGTCTTTGCAGGAGAACTAAAGGAAATCAAGCAAGACATCTCCAGCCTCCGATATGAGCTTCTTGAAGAAAAGTCACAAGCAACGGGAGAGCTGGCTGGCTTGATACAGCAGCTCAGTGACAAGTTTGGGAAGAATTTAAACAGAGATCATCTGATGATGAACAAAGGCAAGGATGACTAGCCAGAGCCACAGCCTCTGTGACATCAACCAGCATTCAGAGGGAGTGACCATAAGCAATGGTTTCAGCCAAATCCTGGCCTTGGCCATCAAGCTGATACAACTCTCATGTACCTGTTCCTTGGTGACAATTGTGTCCAAGCAGGTTTGCCAATGTCTCCAACCAGCTGAGCTGCCTGGACCCAGAAGTTGTGGTGATTCTAGATACCCAAAGCAGTTTTTTTTTCTTTTTTGTAAAAGAGTAAAACACAAATTGAAAAAGGGAGAAACAGTCAACAAATATGAGGCCACAGCACTCATATAGCTGAACTATGATGTGTTTCCCTATTGGCATATCCCACGACACTGTATCCTCTCCCCTGGAGCAGAGGGAAAGCTGACTATCTCAGCTGTATCAACACACCTTCCTACTTGGGTACCATGCATTAGCACTGCTTAATGACAGGGCAGATGGAATATCTAAATATCATCCTTAGATATTCTCAAAAACAAAACTACCAAGCAAAACCGGGAGGTGACCTGTGATCTATTCTTAAGTGCCAGATGAGAACACAGATAGCCTAATAGCAAAATAGTTATATTTGTTTAAAAAAAAGTTTTAAAAAATTCTAAATCAAAAATTGCACTGTCAGTAGACCTATTTAGAGGGAGTGGGGGATCCAAATAATGTATTTTTACCTTTATTAAGATCATCTTGTAATTACTATTTTTACCTAAAAGGAAAAATAAAATTACCTCATAATAACCTGCTGTGGCCTAAGTGGAATTGGCATTTGTGGACCTCAATAACAGTGGCTACTTGTGACTTTTGAAAACATAATGGCAAACACTGGTTGCTTTCATTTTTACCTATTAGGATGCCATGAGATAATGCACTTAGAAGGGGTTCTCTTATTTTTATTCCTACTATCATATAGTAGGATGACAAGGATAAAAGAAGTGGTTTAATCTGGAAGTATATTTATGTAACAGGGATATGACAAAGGTTTATGAATAGTACCCTATGTTACTCCCTAGATTCACCTTAGGGCCCAGATTCAAGGTACTCTGGCTTAGCTCATTTTGTCCCTGCTCACTGGCAACTACCTTGGAGTCAGAGTTTAATCACTTAGACCTCATACTGTAGTAAGAAAAATAAATCAATTAAGGGAAAAGCAAGTGTAAACAGAGACTACCCTGTCCCCTACTGCCTGAAGGCCAGGTATTTTACATTTTACATTTTACGTTTCATCTCTCCTCTGTGGTTTCCCAGTAGCTGGAACTATCTAATGTCTCTTCCATTCCAGCCCCAATGATTTATGTTCACCTAATTTTAGGGGGTCCCCAAATCCCAGTTCCACTTAACCACTTAATAGTCAGATTAACTTTTACAGAGGAATCCTTACTTCAAAGATAGAACAAGAACAAAAATCTCCCCTAAGAAATAGGTGCAAAATCCCCCTCTTACATCTCCCTCAGTCAGTGGAAGGGGATTAGGTACACAGTTTAACTTGCTTCCTATATAGTATTAGTCCCACCAAGTTCCAAATCCAAAGCCCCCTGGTTCAAATCCTGGCTTTTCAGAACTTCCCATTGTGGAGGGATGGGAGAAAGGACAGCAATATGTGATCTGAAATTCTGCCTCCAAGGTCACCATGGCCCAAGCTCCCAAGTGCAGGGACACTATTGCCTGCACCAAGAACTGAAAAAGACTGCTGAAACAGACCAAAAGCCAAACCCAATTCTTAGGATCACAAAGTCTAAAAGAGAGAAGGGGTTCCTCAGTTCCTGATGGCTGTGCTGTGGGTGAACAGGACCTGCAACCCCCTGGACACTGCCAGTGTATGAGTCATTCACTTACTTATAGGACAAGGTACCTCAGCTACTGGCTTGATTCACTGCTAGGATAAATAGATCAATTAGGTGACTACTCAGGGCTCATTCCTCACTGAACTTGACTACTACTGCTACTAGATCTGGTTATTAAAGGGACTTTTAATGGCTTTTATAACCTTTTAAAGCTGACAAGGGCATAACCTGGTCCATTCTATCTCCAATAGTCATTCACCTTCCATTGGGCAAAAAGGAACACAACTGAGACAGAGGAAACAGAAGAGAAAAGAAAGTTTATCTGTTTAAACCTTTTGTATGCACATTTATTCCTGGCTCAGCAGCCACTTAAAAGGCTTTCTGTCACTATACAGTAAGCCAATAGGAAAAAAAGAGAAAATATCTGCACCTGCTCAAATCATGAAGGGAAAGGGCCCTGCCAAACCACATTTCCTCAAGCAGGCTCAACAAACCTTCATATAGATTGATAGCAGACTGAGCTTATTGCCCATGCGTTAAAGACTGAGACCTAACTGGTCAATCTCTCCATTATACTATGATGCCTGGGGACATAGTCTAACTAGCAGTATATGCCCATTCTGTAGCCTACACTGGGTATATTTAGACTCTGGAGACTGAAGACCAGGAGATCAACACCCTATCACATAGGGAAAGGACTTTGTAAATGCCAAAATACTCTAGAAATGGGGACTATTATTATTAACATAAAAATTATTACAAAATCAATAAAATACTTTAATGGTAGAATCATAGAGTCCACCATTCTATTCTGTTAGAATTATAAGAGATCTTATAGCTGGAAACAGAACAAGATTGTCCTAGGCTGGTTGTTTTAAAGATGCAACCTGTTCAGGTTATACAAACAATAGAAAGAGGCTACTCCTGTCTCTATAGTAGGTAAGGGAGCACAGAATGTCTCCTCCCAGAAGCAGGTCCCTAGAATCTCCCACATTGGTGCCTCCATTTCAGGTTATCTTGTAACGCTCCAAAGCCCTGTGACACATAGTAATATCAAGCAGTAGCAGACAGGTAGCATAAAATGTGCCAAACACAGGTAGCCTGCAGTTACCCAAAACAAGGTTTCTGCTTCTCCCATTCTCAAATGATTGGAGTGCTGAGAGGTCCAGCTCCTCAGTCAACTGCTATTATAGAGTAACTCTGAATATAAGGAAGGAGGTAAAGCTTGTCACAAACATTGCCTGAGGTACTCACTGCCTCTCAATATGAGTCTGTACCCAAAGTCTTCTGAACAACATTATGTCTCTTATTTCTACAAATTCAGTACTCTGAATGCTTCATTATCTAGATGTCAGTTTTCAAGGTTCACAGAGCAAGGGACCACAATAGATTATAATGGTACACTCTCCAGCTTTTAGTCATTTCTCCACCTTAGCCTGGGTCTCATACATGGTGGGTACTGGCCACAGACCAAACAAGATAAATCATTTCTGAAGCTCCCCTGAAGAGGATGGAGTCTGGGGAAGCCTGTCTCAACTGCCAGCTTCTGTGAACCTTTCTGGAGCCTGTGAGATATGGCAGGAAATTTCACTAGAGCTGGGTGAAGAAGTCTGCATTAATGTTCTCTACCTAATAGTAATAGGCTATTGTGTGAGACATAGCAAGCTATGTATGATCTTGATCAAGTCTGTCCCAATCTCTCTAGACCTGAGTTTCATCAGTTAAAATGAGAGTTATCGTGCTAAATCATCTCTATGGACTCAATGAGGCCTGCAGCTTTCAAGTGGGAGGAAGAAAGACAAGCTGTGGGCCTCCAGGTGTGGCAGTGGTGGGAACCTGCTGCTGCTTGTGTCCTCTCTCCACCTGGCCACCACGTGTCTGTGAGTGCATGACTCTGTCTCAGTTGTGAAGACAAAGGGAGGCTATGAATCTTATTGCTGCAGTAAGATTCTGTACTTTGTGCCAGGGAAGAAAGAAGAAAGTCTATCTCAGAGGTGGGGAACCTGCGGCCACTGCAGGTTATGCACCCTTGGTCTATCTGTTTGAACCATTTGCATGCATATTTATTTTATTAGCTCACTAGCTACTTAAAAGTTTCTTTTTTGTTACCATGCAATAAGCCAAAATAAAGACCAAAAATATCTGCAACTGCTCAAAAGCAGAGAGGTAAAGGCCCCTACCATCCCACTTTTCCTCAAGCAGGTACCCATGCTTATCGCCCAATCATCCATGCTCTTAAGACAGGAACCTAATTGGCCAATCCCTCCATTACACTGTGATGCCTTGGGACATAGCCTACCTAGCAGTGGATGCCAATCCTGCAGCCTGTACTGGTGCATTGAGATTGAAGACCAATGAGATCAACACCCTATGACATAGGAAAAGAACTTTGTAAATGCTAAAGTGCTGTAGAAATGGGCCCTATTATTATTAACACAAAAAGCCTCACTGGAAAATCAATGGGAGAAATACTTTTAAGATAATGGTAGAATCATAGATTGTTAGAATAGTAAGGGATGTTAAAGGATAGTCAAGTGGAACTCTCTTCCCCCACTTCTCTCCCTATACATACTTTATAGCAGCCAGAACTGAGGATCAGAAAAGAAGACAAGATTGGCTTTGTTTTGTTTTGGTTTTTTTTAGTGAGGCAATCAGGGTTAAGTGACTTGCCCAGGGTTACACAGCTAGTAAGGGTCAAGTGTCTGAGGCCAGATTTGAACTCAGGTCCTCCTGACTCCAAGGCTGGAGCTTTTACCCACTGTGCCATCTAAATTCCCCTCAAGATTGTCTTAAGATGAGCTCTTATCAGTCCTATCCGTGACCAACTCCTACCATGGTGCAAAACATGAAAGTACAATTTGTTGTCTAGTTGTTTCAGTTATGGCCAACTTTCCATGACCACATTTGGGGTTTTCTTGACAGAGATGTTGGAGTGGTTTGTCATTTCCTTCTCCAGCTCATTTTATGTATGAGGAAACTGAGGCAAACAGGGTTAAGTACCTTGCACAGGGTCATATAGCTAGCAAGTTTCTGAGACCAGATTTGAACTCAGGTCTTCCTGACTCCAACCCTGGCACTCTATCCACTGATCTAGCCATCCCTACCAAACCCTATGAAGACCTTTATCTTATGGAACTAAAGAGTTTAAATTTATTCCCAAAAAATTTATTAAGCACCTACTATGAGCCAAGGCACTCCGCTAAGAACTGAGGATA